CTTTGAAACGTCTACAATCTACCACCCAGAAACTTTTATCTCAAAATTTATTTTCTTCATACAATGCAGTTTTTAATGACTGGTGTAACTTAGGAGTGATCGAAAGAAAAATATAGCGGTTGACTATGGACATTATTTGCCGCATAGACCGGTGATCAAAGAAAAAATAGCTCAACACCAATTCGACCGGTGTTTGATGCGTCTGCGAGGAAACAATCGTCTCCTTCTCTAAATCAGTGTTTGGATTGTGGGACCAAATTTGATAGAACTAATTCCTTCTCTTTTGTTGAGATTTCGTGAAGGCAAGTTTGCTGCTATATGCAGACATTGAGAAGGCTTTCTTACAGATCAGTGTAAAGCCTCAAGATGGAGACTGGCTTCGGTTTTTCTGGTGGAAGAAAAGAAAACGAAAATATTTCGTCATACTAGAGTAGTATTTGGGGTTAAGAGTAGTCCTTTCCTTTTGGCATCTGTTACAGAATTCCATCTACAAAAGTACATAAAAAATTCTTCATATGATACGGAGATGATAGCTAAACTCTTGCCTAGCTTCTACGTAGATAACGTTGTTGCCAGTTTTGACAAAGAATCCGAGATGATCCAGTTCATCGAAAAATCTTGAGAAATAATGTATGAAGAAAGATCTTGAGAAATAATGTATGTTTAATCTTTGAGGCTGATTACTAATGGAGATAACTTGAAACAGGAAACTATTTCACCCGTATTGGGTCTGTTATGGAACTCTCAGAAAGATAATTTGAAACTTTGAATCTGAATTGGCTAGAAGATTTTGAAATGGATATAATAACAAAGAGAACAATTCTCGCTGTAACACACAAAATATTTGATCCTATTGGAATTGTGAGTCCTGTTCTCTTGTATCCTAAAATATTGTTGCAGAACCTATGGAAAACAGGAATTTCTTGGGATACTGAAGTCGATGAGAGTACAAAACAAAAATTTATGAATTGGTATAAAGGCTTTTTTCTCTTAAAAGAAATATCCCTCCTACGTTGGATACATTCCAGCAAGGACAATAGGAAGTTCTGCAGCATTCACACATTCTGTGATGCCAGTAGTAATGCGTATGCTGCTGCAGTTTTCTTGAGAACTATGACGAATTCTGGAGTTGAAGTTCATTTGTTGGCATCGAAGTCTAGAGTAGCTCCCGTGAAATCTATTATGATCCCTCGTCTGGAAATGGCAAAATGTAGAAACACATTTTTGGACGGATTCTTCAACAGTTTTGACGTGGATTCAAAGGGAAGAGATTGTCTAGGCTGTCTTTGTGAAAAACAGAGTCAGGGAGATTAGGAAACTCACGGATCCAAAAACGTGGAAACATATTGCTGGAACAAAAAATCCAGCTGACCTCCCATCAAGAGGTTGCACCGCCAAACAACTTTCAGTAGTTAGATGGTGGGAGGGCACCGATTGGCTGAAGAAAAATTAGGAAGAATGGCCTAGACAAAGGGAAATACCGGACATGGAAATAGTGAATTCAGAAAAAAGGAAATCAGTCAATTCTGCACTAAATACGCAAAGGGCAGAACATTTTTTTGAGAAATATTCATCTTACCACAAAGTGTTAAGAATAACTGCTTGGATATTCAGATTTATCAACAACTGCAGAAGACCAGATTCTAAACAATCAGGAGAACTCACTGTCCCTGAAATAGCAACCGTAGAAAAGAAAATATGCAAGATAATACAGATAGAAGCACTTGGCAAAGAACTTAAAGTTAGAAACCTTTGTACCTTTTTTGACTCAGATGGCCTTATTTGGTTAAAGACCAAGATTACTAGAAGAGAGGAAGAAGAAAATTTTCTCTGTCCAATTGTACTGCCCTCAAATCATGACTTAGGTTAATTTTAGATTACCATTTGCGACTATCCCACGCTGGTGTGCAATTCATACTAAGCAATATTCGACAGAAATTTTGGGTCCTGAGAGGAAGAAAAACAGTTAGTAAAGTACTTATGAAGTGTGTTTGCTGTAGAAGATATAGCGCAAAGAATATAGAGACTGTTTCAGCACCTCTTCCTGAAGATCGAGTTAAAGATGCTCTGCTGTTTGAAGTGACCGGAGTCAATGTAGCCAGTCCTCTTTAAAGACTAAGACTTTAAAGACTTTTTTAAGGAAAGAAAAAAAAGTCATGGATCTTGCTCTTTACTTGTGCAGTCTATCGCATGATACATCTTGAGCTGATAGAAAGTTTATCAACAAATGCATTACCCTTGGGATTAAGAAGATTTATTGCCAGAACAGGTTGTCCAAGTATTATTTACAGCGACAATGCCACTAATTTCGTTGGAACTGAAATTCTGTTAAGATCGATAGATTGGAAAGAAATAGAATATCATTCAACTAGTATGAGAATACAGTAGAAGTTTAATTCCCCAACTGCTTCATGGTGGGTCGGTTGGTGGGAGAGGTTGGTACAAACAGTGAAGAAGATGTTGAGAAATGTTCTCGGAAAGTCCTGTGTCTCTTACGAGGAAATGTTGACTATACTTTGTGATATCGAATCAGTGATTAACTCAAGACCCCTTACGTACCTTTCAGAAGATCCAAATGATCTTCACAGCACTAACTCCTTCAATGTTTCTACAAGATGTGCACGACATTGGAGTACCAGACTTAGACTACCTGGATACCATCAATCTGACAAAAAGATACAAGTTCTTGCAGAACTAAAAGAGCAAATGATTTCGTGATGAATATTTAGCTATCCTAGTGCAAAAACCATCACCTAAACGATTTACTCAGACTATCAACAAAAATGACTTGGTGACAGCGACAACAAGAAGAGAATAGATTGGCGAATAGGTCGTGTTGTATAAATATATCCTGGGAAAGACAGCGAAGTACGTGTTGTCAAAAGTGAAAACTGCACATGGGTGAAACTCCTAAAGACCTGTGAAATGGTATTTATTCCTCTCGAACCTTGATAGACCTAACTTGTTTAGTGACTTGACCATGAACAGAAAGAACTCTGCCGATAAGTCTGGACAGTGATATTGAACTATCATACTAGATATGGACGTAAAACTGTAAAACCTGTTACATGTATTTTTAAATTGTTATACAGTACATTTTTGTTTCGTAATCTGGTATTTGTCGGGACTTCGGTAATTGTCCGGATTAGTAGATCATTGGAACATGTAAATCTGGATATGGTATGAATGTAATGCAGAAAATGTTTAGATGTGTAATACTTCTTTGTAAGTATTAATTTTAGAGCATTAGTTACTTTTCATATTTGTGAAAGTTGTACTTGAATTTTTGTTTGATTATTGATAAATTTTGTTTTGATTTTCCCATCTTATCGAGGTAAAATCAAAAGGTGGGAGGATGTCCCATTCTTGCCACTAGATGGTGGGCATCTCTTCCTTTTCTTTTTCTCTAATTGAGTTCTGGGAACGAGGCAGATTGGAACGGCTCTGAGGAGCGTAAAGACGAAACTTCAGACTCAGAAAACAATTAAAATGTACTGTCTTAAAATAATTATCACCTACCTTGTAAATAGTGTATATTAGTGTCTTACTTGAATAAATAAGTAAAAGACAAGATGGCCTGTTACTTCTAATAGAAACTCTTACTGAAAAACATGATTATTAGAAGCCTGGCGTCGCGAACACTGAAGATGCAGCAGGTAAGGAATTTTACATTAATTTTATTGTAAATAGAAGAACCTGATGCAACAAGAACAATTATGATCTAAAGAGTATCAAAATTTACAAAAAAAAAAAAAAAAAAAAAAAAAAAGGCAGCTTAATATTTATTTGTTTACTTTATTAAACATTTCTTTCAATGTATGTTGTTTAAGTTGCTTCGTTTTATGTGCTAATACTTTCTCTTTAGTTCTATAACAGACATAATTTCTTTTTCAGTCACAAAGTTCCGCTGTTCAAGTCCTATAATTGTTGTGTAATACCGACTAATTTGTCAATCGAAATTTTTTCGTTTTCAATAACCTCTGTGTCACTTTCTTCACTATCGGAAGCAAATTATAATCACGTGGAATCTGATTTAAATCATATCAAAGACGGAGTACATCGAGATGAAATACTACATTTAGTAAGGAATTATAAGCCAAATAAAATAAAAACATCTGCCCTGAAGATAAGGATAGTGCTGACAGATCAACTTCCAATTCATTCCGCGGCAGAATTAGCACAATCATTTCATTAACTAACTTAATTTCATTTACTGCTAAAACATTTTCTTAAAAAAGGGTAAAAATTTAAAATCAGGAAATTCAATAAACTAATATCCAGACTATGACATAAAATCGAGTCTCCAGATAAAACCAAGACAGCTGCCAACTGTCAAGCCCACTACACTGCATCTCCCAGTATAGAGCATTTAAGACGATCTCAATATCATTATCAACAAAGCCAAGAATGACGAGTCCAAATATGGTAAGGTATGAGTCCGAATTCAATTAAAATAACAATTTTGAACATACTGCACACCTGTTAAATGTCATCCAGCAGTAAGACAATGCCCATCTGCACACAGAAAACATTTCCAGGAAATGCCTATACATTGTCATAGACCTTTGACCTATCAGATCTTCACACCTACCCTCAATCAAATATGTGTACGGCATGATAGCAAACCAGTTACAGCCATCTTACAAATTATTTGAAATTATCATAAAATGTATTATAAAAATTATCTTATTTATTTAAATACGCAAAGATAAATGCAGCAGCCAGATTTACTTGGTGTTGTTATGCAGTCTTCCTTTCTAAAGAATTAAAAACAACAATGTTATAATTTGTATGATTTCTTGTGCTTTATGCAACAACAAACTTGAAGTCAGAATGATCAAAACTGCTATATTTTGAATTCACTATACACTACCCTTCTCTTCTTACAAAAAATATCTTATTAATAATAATTATTTTTAGCACAGTACCTCTTAATTTATTAGCAAAAATTAATATCCTCACAAAATATTAATTCATTAGCATAAGATTTATAAACTTACATAAAATAAAATTTTTGTTTCCAAATATTGTGCAATTTCTTCATGTTTATTTTTCACGGCAAGATCACATATAGTTTCAGAAGACTTATTTTCTACAAATAAAGGAGCCCCATGACAAACAAGGATCTGAAAAACAGAAAATATTTTTTATAGATAACCTAAAAGAAATTTTCATAAAATTATCCCTTAGTTAATATAATACTTACAGTGCTACAGCCATATCATAAACAAAACAAAAAAAAAATATTATCAGTCAAATTATAATTACATTTACAACAGTACAGAATGAGATCCATAATCGTCTGGTGTTCAACGATTTCAGAAATTTCCAGATCATAGATCATCAGTTGAAATCTTGTAAGATGACATGAAGGAATTATAAAATTAAAATATAAAATAGTTGTTCATGAAATAATAAAGCATTTATGACCTCAATAAAATCAAAATTTTGAAAAAAGCTCAATATTTACTCATTTTATTATATTTTCTTTCAATAAAACTCATTTAAGCAGTTTCATTTTTTGTGCTAATATCCTGTCTTTAATTTTATAAACAGACATACTTTCTTGCTCAGTTACAAAGTTCCCCATTTAAGTTCTGCAATTGCTATATCAAGAATTCCCATTAAGTTGTCAATTGAAATCTTTTCATCCTCAACAATCGCTTTGTCCTTTTCTTCACTATATATAGCTATATTTTCTGAATTTAAAACTATACTACAGTTAAAATACAATAACACGCCGAACAAATATCAATTTAGATGTCAACCAACAAAAATCAGTGTTATATTTTCAAATTTTCACAGGACTAGTTTCGACGGTTTTACCAAACCATCATCCTCAGCTGCAAAAGCACAAATGAACAAGATACGATAAAACCCAGGTAGCATGCATTCGTAAATAGCACGAGAAAAATACGTGCAATTTACGAATGGCGCTTCGTATAAAAAAGTTCAAGTTGAACGTGAAAATATCATAAAAGTGTCCAGTAGCAGATACTAGATATTTATGTATATTTTTACGTTATACTATATGTAACTTTCATGCAAAATTTAGGTATATTTACACGAGAGACTGCTGTTCATTCGTAACTTTTACGTATAATATACGTAAATTTCAGGGATTTACATAAATTTTTAGTAAAAATTTACGTACATTTATCGCATATACGTAAATCTCTTCAATTTTTTGCTTCACTTATGAGTATATATTTAGTAAAAATTTACGTTAAATCTCCCTGATTTTTTACTGTATATAAACGTATATATTAGATAGAAATTAAAGTAGATATTCCCCGTATTTTACGGTACAAAAAGGTATATATTTGATAGAAATTAACGTAGATATTTCCCGTATTTTACGGTAAAAAAACGTATATATTTGATAGTAATTGACCTAAATCTTTCCTATGTTTTCTTTGCATATGCAAATGACTTTGGTAAAAATTTAATCCGATGTCTTCTCCTCTTTACTGTGTATAAATGCATATTTTTGGTAAAAAATCTGCATAAATCTCCAATTACCTTTTTAGTGCATTTTTCGTAAAATGTACTTATTTTAATCACATATTTTTTCATAAATCTATGCAAAAACTCTCTGCATGCTATGATTAAAAGGTAAAATGTCATTTTATATAAAATTTTTACATATCTGCCTTTTAGTTATGTACAGCAATATGGAATATATATAACTGGAAAATTTAAATGCACTAGTAAATGCAAAAAAAGTAAATTTCTATTCAAAAATTACGTAACACTTAAAGGCTGAAAATCACTTTTAATATTTCATTTCAAAGTGACTACAAAATATGCAATAAAATTTGTAAGCATCAATTCTATGTTTTAAATCAATTAATGCTATCGTTCATTTACATTTTTGTTTACTAAATTCATTTCATAAATTTAAATTTAGTAAATACTAATTAGTTTACTAAATTCATTTTTGCTAAATAACACTTTAAATAAATTATTTGTTTTTCCAAAGGACATTTTCTTATGCCATGTAAATGAACGATAGCATTAATGTTTTTAAATCATTAATCTTCGTTTTTATTTTTGTTTACTAAATTCATTTCATAAATTTAAATTTAGTAAATACTAATTAGTTTACTAAATTCATTTTTGCTAAATAACACTTTAAATAAATTATTTGTTTTTCCAAAGGACATTTTCTTATGCCATGTAAATGAACGATAGCATTAATTGATTTAAAACATAGAACTCAGGTTTACGAAATTTATTGCATATTTTGTAGTCACTTTGAAATGAAATATTAAAAGTGATTTTCAGCCTTTTAGTGTTATGTAATTTTTGAATAGAAATTAATTTTTTTTGCATTTAAATTTTCCAGTTATATATATTCCATATTGCTGTACATACCTAAAAGGTGGATATGTAAAAATTTGATATAAAAATTAATTTTATCTTTTAATCATAATATGCAGAACATTTTTGCATAGATTTATATAAAAAATAAGAGATTAAAATAAGCACATTTTACGAAAATGCAGTAAATAGGTAATTGGAGATTTATGCAAATTTTTTACCAAAAATGTGCACTTATACACAGTAAAGAGGAGAAGACATCGGACTAAATTTTTACCAAAGTCATTCGTATATGCAAAGAAAACATAGGGAAGATTTAGGTCAATTATTATCAAATATATAAGTTTTTGTACCATAAATAACGGGAATATCTACGTTAATTTCTATCTAAAGTACAATATAGTTAATTACCAAATTCAGTAAACGACTGTAGCACAAAAGAAAACATCATACGTTTAGATTATTTGAATGAGTGTGCTAAATTTTAAAATTGTTAAATATAGACCAGGAAATTGTAGAAAACTTACCTTTTCCAATAGTTAACCAAGTTGACTTTTTGTTATTTTCCTTGAAGATTAATGTTTAATGTCACAAATATTTCATTCATATCTTCAGATAATACACAATAATATATACATATTTATTTATTAAAATTCAGTTTATCAAAAACATGTTAAAGAAAATATATAATTTGCATGCAAGTTAATCGAGTAACTTCTGTTTTATGTTTTATTACACACATAATTATGATATGTAAAAATTTTACATTTATCAGTCAATCTTGCAATGTATTGTAATCTATTATTGTTGTCTCAGTTTAAAATCTTATAAATATATTAGATCAGTACTAAAAGTTCACCTCTACAAAAGAAATGCTTTATTGAGGTATTTTTTAAAAAGTTCCCTTTTACATGTAACTGTTAATTTCATAAATAAGTTCATAAAATTATGCAAATTCAAAATTACCTAAATATGTTCTTTATTTTATCTTATATACCAGATAAAATTTTAAAAAGTTAATTTGTTTAGGAATATTGAAGTTTTTAAATATTTATCTCATGTGACTTTTTCTATAACATCATTATAAATGTACATGTTGATGTGGACATACCAATTATTTTTTTTTCATCAAATAGCTTTATGGTATTAAATGATTTAAAAAGAGGCAACTGGACAAAAGAAAGCAATTAGAAGTTGGCTAATTTTTTATTAATTTGTTGTCAAATGCTGTGCATTTTAGATTACGCTCATATGATGACAATGAGTTATTTAAATTATAAAATTAATATGAACATATCCCACATAAATTAACAAGTATCAAATTTCAAGTTGTTTGAAGTATTATGAACTGTAATACTTGCAAAAGAAATACACATGAAATTAATTTAAGAATTAGGTTTATTTTACAGGTATTCGAAAACTGCAATTACTGTTAAACAATAAAAACTAACATTAAATCTGAAGAGCATAATTTTTTCAATAATAAAATTCAACATAGACTTCATTGCAGCTTCGCCATATTTGTTCTATAGTTCGCTGTCTTTAATATCCTGCTCGATTTTTGTAAAAGTGAATTCTTTGTCACCCAATGTTTTGAGAACAGCTCCTAAACAAGAAAAAGAAAAATTTGTAATAATTTCACACTTCAGATGTTTTCAGTTTTTAAATATAGTTGAAGTATTAAAAGATGCATATAAAATGCACTGTAGTATTTCATATTTAAAAATTTACATTTCAGTAATTAAAAATTTAATTTCATACTATCACACAGTAAGCTTCAATTATATACCTTACACAATGCCTATAATTTCAAGTAAAAAATACTTAAGATTTGTTTAGAACTGCAAGGTTGAGAAAGTCTTTAATGGCTATGTTTTGTATTTAAGTACATGAGAAAAAACTTAATTTTGTATTAATTATATTGCATTAGCCTTTTCAATTTTACTCCTACATATAGTAAAGAATATTCGCTTTCTTACAGATAACTTTTTCTTAAATAAAGAGTAAGCAGAAAACTAATCACAACACTATATACATATAACAGAATACTTCATAAACATATACATGTCATTAACATACGTATATGCATTAACAGGCTATTTTACACATTTCAATAAACCAGAAACCAATACACAATCAAAAGTATTATCAGTAAATTCCTCCAAAATCAGAGCAAAAATCTTTAATTATGATAACAATGGCATCTCAGTTTGCAATATAAAATATTTCAAGTCTACATTCATGTGCATTCTAAGCAAACAGAAAGCTGAATAACAATAAAATTATAAATACCATAAAAAAGTTAAGAGCCACGTAGAATGATAGCAAGACTAAATGAAGTCTTCCTTCAAAAATCAATTTAAATTCAAAAATTTGCCTTCCTGTTTAACATCTCAAAATAGGGTTACTGCTTTCACTAACTAAATTTCCTGTCTTGGCAAAATAAAAATTGTCACTTCTGTTGCAGGAAATATTTGCTGCAAACTTTGTATGCAAATAATCCAGTGAAAAAATTTTAATTGTGGCTTGAATATTTTCTTTATTAAATAAATGAAAAATTGCCACATAATATTAATTTATGATCCACATGAAGCTTTTTACCTCTACCATATCATGCAGCTATTTTAAAATATATACTCTCATATAAAAGC